TGGCTGTAGGTTTGTCATATATAGCTTTTATCATTTTATGATATGTTCCATCAATACCTAGTTTATTGAGAGTTTTTAGCATGAAGAGCTGTTAAATTTTATCAAAGGCCTTCTCTGCATCTGTTGAGATAATCACGTGGTTTTTGTCTTTAGTTCCGTTTATGTGATGGATTACGCTTATGGATTGAACTAGCCGTGCATCCCTGGGATGAAGCCTACTTGGTCGTGATGGATAAGCTTCTTGATGTGCTGTTGTAATCTGTTTGCCGGTATTTTATTGAAGATTTTGCCTAGATGTTCATCATGGATATTGGCCTGAAGTTTTCTTTTTTAGTTGAGTCTCTGCCTGGTTTTGGTATCAGGATGATGTTGGTCTCATAAAATGAATTAGGGAGGATTCCCTCCTTTTGTATTGTTTGATACAGTTTCAGAAGGAATGGAAGCAGCTCCTCTTTGTATGTCTGGTAGAATATGGCTGTGAACCTGTCTGGACCTGGACTTTTTTTGGTTGGTAGGCTATTGATTTCTGCCTCTACTCCTGTCCTTGTTACTGGTCTATTCAGGGTTTCAGCTTCCTCCTGGTTTAGTTTTGGTAGAGTACAAGTGGCTAGGAATTTATGCATTTCTTCCTGGTTTACTGGTTTATGTGAGTAGAGCTGTTTGTAGTAATCTTTGATCATAGTTTGTATTTCTGTGGGATCAGTGGTGATATCCTCTTTATCATTTTTTATTGCATCTATTTGGTTCTTTTCCGTTTTTATTAATCTGGCTAGCAGTCTGTCTATTTTGTTGATCTTTTCAAAAATCAGCTCCTGGATTTATTGATTTTTTGAAGGGTTTTTTGTGTCTCTGTCTCCTTCAGTTCTGCTCTGATCTTAGTTATCTCTTGTATTCTACTAGCTTTTGAGTTTTTTTGATCTTGCTCCACTAGTTCTTTCAATTTTGATGATAGGGTGTTGATTTTAGATCTTTTCTCTCTTCTCTGGTGGGCATTTATTGCTATAAATTTACCTCTTGATACTGCTTTAAAGGTGTCCCAGAGATTCTCGTAAGTTTTGTCTTCATTCTGGTTGGTTTTGAAGAACATCTTTATTTCTACCTTCATTTCATTGTTTATTCAGTCAACATTCAGAAGCAAGTTGTTCAGTTTCCAAGTGGTTGTGTGGGTTTGAGTGTGTTTCTTGACCCTGAGTTCTAGTCTGATTGCGCTGTGGTCTGATAGACTGTTTGTTATG